AGGCTTATAGTATATATGTAACCTATGAAGCTGATATATATATGTATATATATGGAGAGAGAGAGAGAGAGAGAGCGCCTCGGATAACGAGACCAGACTCCAGAGAATGTTATCACGAAGCAGAATAGTTGAGGGCCCAAATCTAGTCTTGGTAACAGGAACTGAATCAAAAACCTTGAGTGAGTAATGGGGTCCTTAGTATGTTGTCAGTGAGAAATTCTGTCTGACATTCACTCATCATCCCTCCACACACCTTTAATTGTAAGCCGCTCTCGCCCAATGACAATCTACCCACATGCCTACCGTAGGCAGAGAGACATGATCTATGGGTATTCCTGCAAGGGATCTTGTCCATCTTAGCTTTTGTCAGTTGAATTTCCATTGGAGTTCTTCCCGTTGCAGTAGAGGAATAACCATATATATTCGATTATGTTACTGGATGTGGGCCCTTGTAGAGAGATGGATAGAGAGAGAGAATTAGGATTTAGGAACCCTCTATTTTCCTTCTTTCATGGAGTTTTTCTCATTCCCTGATCACTTTTTCATTCCTCAAGAAGACAGAGATATGGTGGCCCTTATCGATGCATACATTACAGACGTATGGCTAAGCTAGCCAGACGCTGCCAAAATAATTCTTGACCCAAAACCTGCATTTGACTCACTGGATGCCTGAACGCTGAAGAACCCGTTAAGAATGAAGTTTGTATACATGCAGTATCTATCTATCTCACTATCTGCTGAGCAACCACCATGCACCCATCCAGCCCATTTGGCCTGTTTGGTTTGACATTTATATTTGGGCTGTTTGACATGGATGAGATTGGCCGGTCCGTGTCTGGACGTAGTTGGGGAGAGGAACCATAATCATCCCTACTCCCTACTCCCTACATGTAGTGGTGTCTTTGGCTATAACTTGGCACAGAAAAAAGATCTCATGATCCCAAGGAAAATTAGCAACTATTTAAAAGGCTAAGTCATCTATGAGCACAACTAGTATTGGCCAGTCGAGATATCCTTTGTTTTGATTGAGTGATACTGATATGGGCCATCAAAGCCCCCCCTCCGGCCTCCCTCCCCCTAGAGTCTAGAGAGAGAGAGAGATGAGACCAACAACATGTATGTGTTGTCCAAACTCTAAAAGTAAACTCCACTCACAAGGCAGTTGGGTCCCATATAATTATCAATAATTATCTTTCACGACCCACTTTTTAGGGTTTATTCTTAAATTTGTTGGCAAATACAAAAAGACCCCATGGAAGAGAAATCCAATTTGTTTTACAGGACAAAAACAAAACCATGGTCTATTGGTTCTTTGCCAGAGAGAGAGAGAGAGAGGATTTGTGTAGCGTGTCTACAGCATAGAATGAATGGGTGGATGAATCACGTTATTGAAAAAAAGGAAGGGAAGGATGTAGTACCTAATCCCCACTTGAGACGTCGATGGTGAGAGACCCTAGAAAAGCTGAATTGCCGCATAAGGGGAGACATAGGGTGGGGCCCACATGGAATGTGGGGTAATTCATCCATGCAGTGATCAGTGATGGTTGTCATGTCATATCATGGGAAAGCATCGGATGTATAATTGTAGCTGACATGCAGGATATATAACTTTAAGTATTTAATGTCCATAAAGAGAGTGGGAGAGATAAAGCTCTGTTCCTCTTGTTTGGGTTTGGCCCCATGTGAGAGTGTCTTGGATGATTAAATATCGACCATTGGATGCGAAGCTCTTGTATCTGAAGTCGACAATCCAATGGTGAATGCATGGGGTTCGCCATGGTTCACGACTCACATAGCTATCCCTCCGTTAAATAAATTAATAATTTTCAATTTAAGCTTATATAATTATGCTTAGAGCTTTATTTATTTGTTTATTTTTATGAGAGAGATTCGGCGGGAAAAGAATCTCAAGGAGGAGGACTGGAGGAGGAGGAGCCGAGGAAGAGGAGGAGGCGAAGGAAAGAGAAAGCGGCTGACAGCGACAGAGCGAGTGGGGGAGGGGAGGGAGGAGGGAGCCCGGGCATCGAGGGAAATCGCTCCTTCTCTTCTTAAACCTCTGAGCTCAGCGTTGACGGCGACTTCCTGCCCGACTGACCGGCATGAGTAGCCAGGGGTTGCGCTCTCTTCCGTCGTTTTCGGCTGCCCGGCCCATATTGAAAAAAGTCGGTGCAGTCACCGCCATATCGTGCCGGTCTTCTTAACCTCTGAACGCGTCTCGCGTTCCGGACGGCACGCGCGGTCAGGTACGTTGGTAGGACATGAGCCTGCTGCGGTGGGGCTGGGGGGTCGACTCACTTCCCCCACGGCCAAACGGAAACAAAATAAATAAATAAAATAAAAAGGAAATGTGTAAACAAATCCAATGTTTTAGAAACAGAAACCGTTGCATGGTTGCAGCTCAGCAGCTCCTGTCTACGTTCGATCCACCATTTGTGAACAAACATCATTTTTATCCTTTTCCTCCTTTTCCTTTAACCTGAAAATTTTCATTTCCCTTAGACCCACTACGTGTTTGTGTACGAGAGAGAGAGAGAGAGAGAGAGAGAGAGAGAGAGAGAGAGAGATTTCCTGTTTATGATGGGTTTCAGTTTCTGTCGCTAATGGCCAATTGTTTCTTTTCTTTTCATCTCTTGGGGTGACTAACACATGTAATGTAGTACTGTGTCACTTGAAAACAGATAAAAGATGGAGCCTTTGACGTTTTAATACTGAGCTTGCATTAGTGGGCAATGTATTATTCCTAAATACCCTCATCAGAATATATGTATAATATCTCCTGTTTTAGAATCTGGCTCCAAATTACGATGTAATACGCCTCAACCACCATTTAAGACTGATGAAAGGTTGTCTTGTGGACTAACGAGTGTAACTTTTAAGTTTAATGCTATATTTTCTCAGAAAATAAGATGAATGGTGATCTAGTGAACACCTTCTCATTTAAGTAAACCATGAACACCCTACCGTGTTCATCACTTATTGGCTAAAAATTTGAAGAACTCACTGTTTTTCGCAATTATTTTGGCTGTCTGAATTTTAATAGAACTGTCTCTCACTGGATCACCATTACCACTGCTAATAAAATTGTCTCTAATCAGTAATCACAGGTGCCTAGAAGTTTCTGTTTTGGCTATTGAAAATGGGTTCCACTTCCACACATGTGAGGAATTTAAACCCCACATCAGACCTCTAATATCACATCGATCCAGGAGGGACTCCTTACCAACTACAACTTCCTTTCGGTAGGGTAGCTCCCTACTGTGTACATGTTCCACAAAGCGTTCATGCGTATCATGTACACATATTGAGAGGGTTACATCAATTGGTCAATTACACTTTGTTCTATATCTTTGTCTTAGTAGGAAAGCTATAGGCCTAGTGCAGACCTACCTCACATCCCTCTGGGTCTCAGCCCAAGTCCAGCACCGTGGTCCTACTAGCTACTCCTGCCACCTTCAACATCATGGGGTACAAGTCAACACAGACATGCTCAAATTAATGGACGTTTAGACACAAACAGAGATTAAAGAAACGATTTTTATTGTGGTTACTGGTTATCCTTTGCATTTGAAAGAACAAGTTCACCATTTAAAAAAATGGGCCTATATATATTATTCCTCTGGTTTATTAAACATGGTTTTTCTTGAAGAGAAACTCACTCACAGAATCCCTTGGCAGAGCACCAAATGAACCCATTTCGGTGACTGCATGCATGGTGGGTTCATCAAATTTAATGCAGAGGAAAACTTAAATGAAATGAACCCATTTGAGGTAATTAATACAGTTCAAACATGTTAATGTCTTCTGCATCCTTACAGCCCCAATTCATCCACAATTCCGTGTTGATTTATTTAATGAACTGACCAAACCATGTTAATTTCTCTCTTGCTTCCTCAAAACAAAAGGCATAGGTAAAAGGTTTAAGCCATGCTAGATTTTATCTCGATTTGGCAATATTCATCGCATGCAGCTCTTTTCTTTGTTTGAGACCATATTCCTTAGAGCCCAAGTAAGAAGACCTGATGCCAACCAATATGTGGCACGTGTGAGCAAGCATGTGAGCCTAGACTCGCTGGTAAAAAAACCACACGTGTGAATTGTGATCAATTAATTAGCTTAAGCTCAAAGCCTCAAAGGGGTACCCATATATATAAATATATATATAGCACACCAGACCACACGGGAGCAATCATCTTGCTGGGTGTGTGGGGAAGGCTAAATTCAAGCCATAAGTTTCGGGCAGTGCCTTTCTACTCGATCGGGACATCAACTTTACACGTATTTCCACGTGACAAGCCCTCTCCTTGAACTCGTAATCATTGTTTTTGAGCGAGAATCTTCAGGAAGGAGCACAAACCCCTTTATAAAATTCATTTGTTTTTTTTTTCTCTCTCTAATGTTGTATTAAATAATGAAACCCTAATTAACTTATTCTCCCCACTTCCAACAAAGTAACTTAATTATATTATCAATAAAAAAAAAACAATTAAACCAATCGTTTTCAGATGAAGTGAAAATGAAACATCACTTGGATTTGAAACCAGAAGAAGAATCATTCCTTCCCAACACAAATATGGAGAAGACGACCAATACATCCAACCACAAGAGAATCATCCATGACCCATCTTCTTTCAATTGTCTTATATATTTATATCTTATATTTAGCAAAAGAAAAATCCTTGTTTTTTCTTCAATTGAAGAATTGAAAGAGGGGAAGAAAGTGATTTAATGATTAATTTGTTTATATTTCTTGTGACTGTCATTGAAATCATGAGGATAATAATGTAGTCCTATCAATGGTGGTTTTATATAAGAAATTAAAAAAAGGATCGATCATGATCAGAAGGATAGGTTGGGAATGGCCGGAAAATAAAGATATCATCTTATTTTAATTAACTATCGCTTACTTCCACAGTTCCACGCTAGATAAACCGCTTACAGCCAAACTCCAAAACCACTTTTTTGGGACAGAAAAAGTGGTTTCTTTCTTCTTATCAAGTTACATCTATATTAAAGCTCCCAATCTACAATCCCTCTAATTCTTTTACACCCACGAAAACCGTCCAACAAAAACCAAAACCATCTAACTGGACTCTTCGCACTTCCAAAGGCAAGTGAGTGAGTACTCCTGTTTCCAACCTCTTCTTCTCATGTCTCTTACATATGTTCAAGCACCACAAACCCTACTTTCTTCTTCATAGCTTTTTCACGCTCTAAAGACTCACAGATCTTTGCTTTTCTTTGTTTTGGGTTTGCAGTAGAATTGCGAAAAAGAAAAAGATGATTCAAGAGCTGTTAGGAGGTGGTGCAGGACTAGTAGGAGGAGAGAGGAAAATCTCCATTGGTGGTGGAATTTTAGAAGGGTCACCATCTTCTTCTCCTTCTCCATCCCCTTGTTCTTCTTCTACGACAAGAACAGCAACAACAACTACAACTGCTACCACGACCACAACGTCATCAGCTTCTTCAGAGCACCAAAATCTGAGGTGCCCAAGATGTGATTCTTCAAACACCAAGTTCTGTTACTACAACAACTACAACCTCACTCAACCTCGCCACTTCTGTAAGACCTGCCGGCGATACTGGACCAAAGGCGGCGCCCTCCGCAACGTACCCATCGGGGGTGGCTGCCGGAAGAGCAAGAACACAAGCGCGTCGACGGCTTCAGCTGCAAAATCAAGCACGGGAAAGGTCAAAACTGCATCAGACATCATCAAATCGAACCTTGGAAGTGGGTTTGATCACGAGCCACCCTCCAACCCAATCTTATGGGCTTCTCAGCAGAATTCTCAACTGCTAGCCTTACTGAGAGCTACCCAAAACCCTAATCCTAACCCTAATCCCATATGCAATTCTGTTACCGTCAAGGATGAGGGGGGTATTATTGGATCTCACATGACGTGCGAGCCACCAGTAGCAGGTGCAGTAAATGCACGAACCCTGAGCTTAGATCCTCTGAGTCAGGTTCCAATTGGACTGTGCAGTTCATTTTGGAGAAACAATCAACATCAACTGCAACATCACCACCACCACCACCAACCCCATCAGCAGCAGCACACCTTATTACTGGGTGAAGTTCAGAATGCAGGGTTTCAGGAGCTTTATCAAAGGCTCAGACAATCTGTGAATTACTACGATACTTCCGCAACAGTACTCAGCAATGTGGGTTCAACCTCGTCGTCTTCTTCGTCTATCATGGAACCAGCTCCCGTTGCTGGAGGTGAATTGGGTTATTGGAATCCCACATTTTCATGGTCCGATCTACCTACGACCAATGGTGCATTTCCTTAAGTATCTCTTCCTTTTTATTTTTCTTAGTAAGTTAATGTCCTTCTTCCATTGCTGTGCTTGTTTGGGGATATGGTATATGAATATGGCTGTAGTATCAGTATGTTCTTTCGCTTTCCTTTGGACTTCTTTTTTAAACTTTTAGTGTTTTCGTGTGTGTTTTAAAGTGTGGTCACTCTGAAGTAGTGTACGAAGAAGCAGAAAAGAAGAAAATGGGGGGAAAAATGGAAAGAATGCTAAGTGTTTCTGAGTGTTTTTCATTTATATGAAGAAACCCCATTTTGAACTTTATATTTGCATGTCCACATAAACTATCATTTTTTCCCCGCTTATAAAAAGCATTTGCTTGCCGTAGTTCTCCTTTTAATTCTTTTTTCGCGAGTAAATATTACTTAAGCTAGATTGGAGGAACAAAGGAATATTAAGTGCTTGTGTTGTTATTTTTGTAAATTTCTTCTTTCTGGGCTTTAGTTACAATATGTGAAAACGATAAGAAAACCATACGTAACAGAAGAAAGAGTTTTCTTGGTTCACTCAGGCTTCTACTACTTCTAGGGTTTCTTTTGCATCAATGACGAGGTTATAGTGGTGGCGGTGATGTTGGATATTACATGGAGATTCCTCCTTTGTTATGTTGTGTAAAAATGGCGAGTGAAGGGATAAAGCAGCCTTGGCAAAGTGCTGCCAGAAACAGCAATTTGATTCGATTCTTACAGTTGGAAGGGTTCGTTGCAGCTTTATTTTAAGAGGGGTTGTATCTGTTATTGCCTACCTCCCTTTGATATTTGCTGCAGACATATTCTCTGCTTCAGTACTGTAGCAATACATATCTATGTCTTGGGGTTTAATAGCGAGAGGTATGCTTTTAATAAGCTCGAATGTCAATGAACACACCTCTGCTCTACCTAAACTCTATCTCCCTCTAAATTATTGAACGTGTAACAAAATAATGGAGATCAGTAACTATGAGTACTGCAGGTAAAATGCCACAAGCCTGGCCAAGATTTCTGAACGACACAAAATTTAAAAAGGAGAGAGAGAGAGCTTTTGAACTTGAAATTTTACCGGTAGTAGATCTTTGGAGCCCATCTAAAGCAAAATCATTTCCTTGGAGTTTTTAAATCATAAATTTACTATCACATGTATCATGTAAGGATTTGTAACAGGGAATGAACTCAATCTTAATCGTTATTGACATTCTGACAGTAAAGCCATTTTTAAAATGATTCAGCTCTGCATTCAAATGCTAATCACAAGTATAAACTAATATCCATGCATGCATGGGGCTTCCAAATGTCCTCTTAATTTATACAACGTTAATTGTTATATTATAACCCTAACTGTACTCCACATGAAACTGGCTTTTCAAGTGAAAAGATGAAGAGAAGTTGGTGATAAATGTGCATAAAAACCCTAACATCAAAGAGTGCAGATTGAATATGAATTTAAACCAATGTATAGATTCAGGTATCGAAATTAAAGTTGAAAAGACATGCTAATTTTCTTCTGAGATGTGAATCAATTATATTTCTATATGCTTTGTCCAAGCATGAAAATTACTATCAACTATATTAATTAGAGGCACTGATATGCTATATATGTGGAATAAACAAGATAGAACTATATATCAATTCAGAACCAAGGCTCTCTATGTACCATGGTAGATGGCGATTAAGAGCCTTGTATTTGGCATCAGCACAAATGCATTTTCTATAGCTAGAAAAAGATTCCTTCCTTGTAACACTAAGTATCATGCCTGTGATTGTTATTTATTCGTATATATCTAATTCAATCTACGTCCGTCCAAGTTGTCAGAGCGACAGGATGGTAGAATCTTTAGAGAAATGTGAGCCACAATAAGTGATACGCACTTTATACTAGCAAATTTCGAGCAACAAGAATGTGCAATATTATTGAATGAATTCGCCTACTTGATTTGACCGTGTACACAAGATTAATTGCCTAGTTTAGATATTGAAAGCTACCAATAACCATTAAAAACTCTATCGCATAAGGTAGAGAATATGTATGTGTGGCGTTAGGTATAATTAAGTAATTTTCCATATTATATGTTTTTTTTTTCTGCACTTTTTTAAGCATTTGGGCTGTGTTTGGTTTGATACAAAATTCCTTTACAACTTCACCATTGATCTTGGACGGAGTTTAGTTTCATCCCCTAAAAGAACCTGGTGTGGGCCAAACAAGTCATAGTTAGATTAATGCTTAAACGTTCCAAGCTTTTTTATTAAAATATTGTGAAAATTATGGAACTTGGTAACATTGCCACATCTCGGGAAGAGTTAAGTTTCTTCGTCATTTATTTTGTAATTGATAGATAAATAATCAATTTCAGATTGTTATATACATTATTCTAAATCGCCATATAAATCTAGCTCTGAACAAATAAATATAGAAGTATTCGCATTTAACAATTTCCAAAAGTTTAATGTTATTTTATTTTTTAAATTAATGTGAAGTTAGGTCTCAGCTGTGAAGACGCCCTATGCATGCTGCTTTGTATTAGTTTGCAATTTTCTAGGAATTTAATGTATTGAGGCATTGGTTATAAATTCAAACCTTGTATTCATATAGATAAAGATTTTAAGTTTGGCTAAAACAACATTAAGATTTCTTTCTCAAAACATGAATTGGTTACAATTCAAGAGAAGTTTGTGTACATGTATTCATGCGTGTGCGACTGTGCGTGAGAGAGAGAGAGAGATCACTAATGATGGTAAATGAGAGTTTAAGAAAGGCCCTAGAGACAGATGACAAAAAATAACACATTTTAACAACCAAGGAGTCACTACTAGTTGTGTATATTCCTTTTAAGCTAACTATCGAACTGGTCCTAGTTAGTTGCCAAAATGTGTCCAATTTTTGTTAAGAATTGTATTTAAATAATAGTAATGAAATAGTACTAATCAACATGTAGGATAATGGTGGTAGGACCGGAAAAAACCTGATCGGTTCCGTTTTACCCAAAAACCGCTTTTTGGTAAAAAATTATTGATTTGATCAGCAAACCACTGACCCATGTGGTCAAACCATCGAACTGTTCAACCCTGAAATGGTTTTTTGTGTTTTTATTTTTTTTTTCAGAGTGGGCCATCCATTTGGCCGGACGGTCGGACCATTCGACCCAAGAGCCGGACCCAGATCCGGTCCCGTTTTAAAAACCTTGATGTAGGAGTTAATCAGAAAAAGGCATATCTTTTGAGGAGTGAAAATATATGAAAAATAAATGTATTTGTTTATTTATGTTTGGTATTTTTGATATTTTCTTGTACTTTTATGTGTACTTAGAGTAAATGACTCGGCCGAGTCACTGATCGATCAAGTACTTGATTAAAGCATCTTGGCAAGTGAGTCGAGTAATGGGGTTTTCAATCACTGATGTATTTGGGCATTGGCAGTCGTGGGTGGTCGAACAGAAAGTCTAATTGATACTCTACTTGAATAGAAATGAAATGTGATTGGAGCAATTAAACATGGTTAGATTCTATTTCTTTTCTGTGGTTTCCGTACCTCCACTTTGCTTGCAGCTTTCTTTAACTACATCATCAATTACAATGGCCTCTTCTCTTTTCATCCTTCTTACGCAAAACTTATGACTATATATATATATATACACTAGCTGCCAACCTAGCTAGCAGCAACCTCCCCCCTTCTCCATTCCTCCATCCATATTACCGGCTTATTAGAATGTTATATATATATATATCTTGGACTTCCTCAAACATCTTCTTTATGGGACTTACTAACACATTAATTTCTTTGTTACTTAACAAATATTGCGTCTTTTAATTAAAAATCGATATTGTTTCTCATTTTATTTGCAATAGAATTTTAGCACCTTTCCAGGTTACTTAGGCTCAGTTTAGAATGAGTACAAATATAAATTTGTGAAGTGTAAAACCTTGTATTTTGTATGTATTAACACTTTTTACTCTTTCCAAATTGAGCATGCAGCCTATTTTCAACCATTTGATCTTTCTATGCAAGTTCTTTTGATCACAAAATCATGAAAACATGCTAATTGTTGTTATATAGTTAATATCGTATCTGGGACCCATTAATTAATTGATGCACGGATCTAAGCTTAGAGGTAAAAGATCTACAACAACTAACATACCAATCATATAAATGGCAGAACTATGAAAAACCTGGGCAAGAAGGCTGTAAATCGTCTGTTGGAGATATTAGGAAAAATAATTCGGTTTATACAATAAAACTATTAAAAAGTAAGTAAATTTACACCTAATTAATATCAAAAATCAAAAGAAGTGCACACCAGAAACATTACCTTCTTTTGTTTTCTTTTATACAGCTGTTGTAGCCCTGCATCTTGTGTGACATGAATGAGAGAGTGCATGCAGCACAACGAGACCCCAAGATAAGAAACCACTGTTGTTTCTCTTCTCCATTGAAATTGGAGTTGAACCATTGAAGAGCAAGACTTTTGTAATAGCAGACAAATTAACCACTGTCTTTTGAGTTAACAGGAGTCTGTTTTTCGTTTCTTTCTTTTTTTTTTTTCTTTTTTTGGCCTTTCTCTGTTCTATTTTTTTTTTTTTTTTTAATTTGTTCTTCTTCCTTGGTAGAAGTTTGAGTGTTCAACAATGTCAACTGTTCTCGTTTCTGCATTGAATGCTATGAACGACCAGCTGCTGTTACAGAAAACTGTAACAGAAACAGGACAATATACCCTGCCACAAGAACTGAAAATCTGGGATGTCCATGAATAACGATAAAGGCCTAGTTAACAACTCAAGCTCTGTTCTTCGAGATGGAGCGGTGGCAGAGACAAATCATGTACAATAAGTAACAGAATGGCGTATTCCTGTTTCTGAACACGGGACAAAGTAGTCCTCCAAGTATAAAAATGTCTACCAACTCCACGACAATTTGCCAAAGATGTGGGCAAATCCTGACCACCCATCTTTACAAAATTAACCTCATTGCTTGCGTGTAATAACAAAAAATGTCCTGTATAGTGTACAAAATCTCTACTTTATGCTATGTACAGTTTCCATATATATATGTCCATGCATGTCTGGAAGTAAGCTCTGTCGTCCATTTCGTAGATTGCAATTTTCCCAAACAGTACTCAAGTAATTTCCACCTCCACGTACAAATAAAATAAAAAAAAAAAAGAAACAGACAAGACAACGATGCCAGACAGAAATATCTCTACGTACCCGTTTTACATCTTAATAAACAGTTGCAGGCTTGCAGGTTGCAGCCTAATAAGATGACTATACTTTGGGCTGCTGGATTGTGTACGGCGTAGGGTGCACTGTTCAGGTGGGAAATTTTGGTGTACAACTTAGTTTCAATGACGAAAAATACGATAAAAATTCGGTCAAACATATTCCATATTTGTATAAAGATTGGTCAAGCATCAACAATATATATGAAGTGCATGTATAAAAAAGTTTAGCATTAAGTGTATGTATTAATACATGCATATTTATAAAAAAAGTTTAGCATTAAATGTATGTATTGGTCATGCATATTTATATGATTTTTTTTATGAAAAGCTTCCATAATTTGTCTTGGACTTTTTCCTTCTCTAGGAATGTTAAGCATAGTTTTCACTCTTTTGTCTCCACTCTTTCCTTTTTTTCTTTTTTTTTACGTTGTTTTTTCATATCTATCACAAGTCGGAACCATGTAGCAACAGCAAGGCTGGAGTTACGCAGATGGATCAAATAAAATGCACTTAAGATCCAAATATAATACGTTATTCGTTAATAATGGATTCAAATTTTTTTTTTCTTAAGACTCAAGGCAACTTGGATTCAAAATTAATCTTACCCATCGGATTTTCGTTGAATTTGGATCAATCATCAAACGCCAAAATTTATTGGAATATTATATGTGATCATATAAAATGAATAAATAGCCACTTTTTTTTTTATTTTTTTGGTATTGCATAGTTTGCAGTTCCCAGCACCTCTTTTGGAATTGGAGTGACACCAAGGATCGAGGGACCATTTCAATTCCTGGGTATGGAGGCAAATTGACATCACTTTTTTTTTTTTAAGTAAAAAAAATGACATCTTGTATTGAATAAAATGACTAGAAAATAACTTCTATAGATTTGAAGACATGCCTCTATAGTATAGCCAACATATAACGTTTAAATCATTCTTGGTGTTACGTAATAATTTTGTGTTAGCTGCTCACTTGTTTAATTCAAATATTATTGAATCAGATCATATCAGACAGCATTGGCCATTGGAATGGCTCCATGATCCATTTGCAGCCATAAGTAACAAGACCTGCACACTCGGTACTTTCACCAAATATATTCTTTAAATCCATATTAATAGACGATGCTCCATTATAAATTGTATAAACATTTCTTCATTTTACAAAATTTTCACTTCAAGAAAATTACATGGTTCATGGTTGTTGGTATGTGTTTTAAATAGCATCTTACAGTAACCAAATTGGGCAGAGAGAGAGAGAGAGAAAGTGACACATCAAATTAGTGAATTTTCATTCCTCCACTAGATTTACAAAGCCAAACTGCCCACAACATCAGCTGTGTGAGATCTGCAAACAAGATATATATGAATTTACCAAAGCTTTTGATATGAGAATCAATGAAAGTCCTGCCACCACAACATGCTCTTCCCCCATATTTCCCAGCGAAGAGACACATGGTACAACTTCTCTCCTGTTTAAGGTTAACATATTTGCACTAACACTTAACTGAACACCCCCTCCAAAAAAACAAAGATGAATAAAAAAGCACGGAAAGAATTTAATCTTTCTACAAAAAAGAATTAATTGAGCAAACTGATTTCATCTGATAATACAAGTTGAGTGATAATGGACCCCACTTCATCACTACAGTTGTTCAGTAGCCGGTCTTTCACCGGGGAACATCCTCGGCATAATACATGTAGAGGCTATTAGCAGCAGCACATGCAATAACATTAGAGGTTGGATGCCATGCTAAGTGGAGCAACTTGGCTGAGAAATCATACACTCCCCCATTTGCATCTGCATTCAAATTCTCAGCTCCTGAGAGGATACAATGTATGGGAGGATATGTCAAATTACTGGGTGTGGGAAACATATATCAGAATGCGGTAAAGAATAACAAAATATAAGCCACATAAGGGTAGTTAATCAATCCCTAAAAATGGCCACAGGGGTTATAGCCATGGTCCTAGACACGTGGCATTGTTGAACCAGGAGCTATGAAAATATTAATAACTTTGTTCTAGTCATCAAAAATAACTAAATCTGGGTCTAGCTGGTCCACATCCCTATTGACCATTTTTTTATTTCCAAGCAGGATTCAAGATTTTTATTTTGTGGATGGAAACAAATGTATGAGCTAACCACCCAATGGATTTTTCCTCGCAATTGCATAGGAATAGAATCGGCCATTTTGACAAACCCAACCTAGAAATTGCCAAATAATAATGAATATCAAAAAATGTTAAGATCCTTTTTGGATCAGCATCCAAAAATATTAAGATCCCGTAGTAGCAATCAGCAACTAGAACAAATTTCTGGCATATAACTAGGTAGGATGCCTTGTCTTCATGTATACCCATAAAAAGATGAAGTCATCCTTATGGTCCAACAAACTAATACCTTATATTTTACAAGGTCATATTTTCTCTACGTGTGGCATAACTATACAGAGTTTCTCCGCCATTTGATGCACCCAACCTAATGACCTATATTGACCGACTGTAAAAGATTAAAAGTAAAGATCTATATCCTTTTCATTTGCATTCAAAAGTAAAAACCTATGCAATTCACATTCATTTGATGGGTTCCACGTACAGAATTCATATAAAAAATCTGAAGATGAGTATTTAGTATGATCTGGTTGGGTCACCCTTAGAGAAGATCTACTAGATTGATGAAATAATGAGCTCCATCACATGGCATGAATGGCAGACATTTTTATCAGTGTTTTAAGACTCGGACCAGATGCAAAAATGGAATGCTTACCAGGTCATGGGTCAAATGGTTTGACTGCCAGTCCAAATGGTTTGATTGTGAGTTGCATAAAAAACATAGAATAATAGATTTTGTAAGTGGCGGTTAGATGGCCAAAGTGTCGTTTTTTTATATAAATGACCAGGGTTCAAATCCTTTAACTTGCATTTTTTCAGAATATACATGTATTTAGTTTTTTTTTATAATTGAAAAGAGATTTATTAATGATATATCAGAAATGTTACAAGCACCCCAAGTTTAGAAAAGATCTAAATGATTGGGAGATTGAGCCTTTTGGACAGCTACTTCAGAAATTGTACAGCAAGCAAATCGATTTTAATTCAAAGGACAGAAGGGTGTGGTCTTCACCCAAGAGGATGAGCAGGATGTCCCTTGGCACATAATCTGAAGTAAGTTTATCCCTTCAAAGGTGGCTTTCTTTGTTTGGTCTTCCGATCTGAACAAGATTCTTGCAAAAACAACCTGACCAGGAGGGGAATGGCTATTGACTCACCTGTTTGTGTGTTGTGTAATGGAATAGAAGAATCAGCTGACCACCTGTTGCTGCATTGCAGTTTTACATACAACCAGTGTTTTAAAAGGCGTGGGAGGTGTATGCCGCCTCCAGGCGAGGTGCCCCCAAAATGCCCTGAGGCGTATGCCAGAGGCGCTGACACCTCTGAGGCGTGCTCGACAAAACCCCCCCTTCAACTAGTGTTATGCATCTTCATTCTTCTTAATATAAAAGACTATTAAAAACAAAGAAAAATGAGATCTTCCTTCCTTTTCTTTCTCCTCCCCTTCCTCCTCCTTTCCTTCTCATCCCCCTCCTCTTAAGGAGGCTTTGGGAGGCTTATGCCTCTTATGTTCTGAACTACGCCTCACGCCTCCGCATTTTAAAACATTGCATACAACATATGGGTGAAAATCCTTAGAATTTTTCCATAAAAAGTTGCTGCCCTGCATCAATGGAAGCTTTTGTAAAAGGCTGGTGTACTCATGGTCTGAGTAAGAGAGGGAAAGCTCTATGGAAAATGGTCCCAGGAGCAGTTTTCTGGTCAATTTGGCAGGAAAGAAACTCAAGGCTCTTTCGAAGTAAAGGCTGTCAAGAAGAGGAAGTGTGGCAAAAAAATAATTGGGAAACTCCTACCCTGGTCATCTGCACATCCGTCGAGAAATAGTGTCCCCCGCCCTTAGTTCTCTCTTTCATTTTGAAAACCTTTTTGTAATGACAAATGGGATAGTGGTCTAATGTTTGTTTTGCATTCCCCAATGTATAGCCTCTGGTTGTACATGGGTATTTTTCTCTTTTTCTTAATGAATCAATACTTTACCACTTCTCAAAAAAAAAAAAAAATAGTATATGTATTAAAAGAAGCAACAGTAAGCACTGAAAACAAGATGGGTTGTTGGTTTAATGCTGATGCACGTAATTAGGAGAACCCGGGTTTGAATCTTTTTACCACCATTTTAAAATAACATTTTAGTGGCCCAGGTGGGTTGTGAAAACCGGCTAGGTCATTGAAACCCGGCTGGTTTTCAACGATTCTACTGGGTTTTGACTGGTTCTACTGGTTTTTCAGAAAAATGAAAACCAGGGTTCTAAAAGGAATCCCTTCCTGTTACCGAGTTGACCGGCCTAACCGTCCAGTCTGCTCCAAGTCTTAAAACACTGATTTTTAAACCCTTTATAGCCCATATTGGGTCTATAAGTGAGTGATGCATCTAATCATATAGAAGGAAAATCTGAGGCAACTACTGAACCCTTCTTTCTCTTTGTGTCACATCACCTCTTTGGTATTATATTTAGTTTAACCAGGAGGAAATAACAAATTAGGCAAATCCAACTGTAATTCATCTAAGCATTTGAACTTCTATAAAACAAATCAGCCATGCCTTTACCAACCTCGTCTACGAGAGCGTGCCAGACTGGTGAATGATCTTGAAGACCTTGAAGGGGTCTGAACTTGACGTCTAAAACACAGTAAAGAAGACACTTAAATTAGGTAAACCCAGGAATACTTATAAAGCCTTACAACAAAAATGGAAACCCAAAAAATTCTGGTTAGGACCTGGTAGGATTCTTGCTGGCCTCTAATGTTGTTGCCTCATTACTACCAGAAACACATCCAAAAACTCGAAACAAGTTGCTGCATTGCAGAACAACTTTCAGTAAACACCAACAAGTAGAGAATCAGATAAAAATAAAAAAGAGAGAAGAGAGGAAACAAAACCTGTAAGAACCAGTGGCAACACGGAGACCATTGCCACTCAAGCAGCATTCAAATTTGTCAAATATGGAATCATTTTCATATAAATCGCATAGCTAGACAAGAACAAAATTAATAAGCAACTATTGGACCAAATAGCAATTGGTTTCAACGGCTTAAACTATGGAAACACACCTTAGGCCTCAGATACTCGTGCACCTGGAATGTTGCAACAGGACTAGATTCCATGTTTAAATCCCAAAGCTGGAACAACAACCAAGAAACCATCAGAGTTAACACAAAAAACATTAAATAGCCTTTGGCATCAATGAATTGTCATTTAAATTGTAAGGGTGCAAATCAAGATAATAAATAAGTTAGGTAAATGCCCTTCAGACCTTATCTTTTTCACACAGAGGTAGAAATTTTACAACATTTAATGGAAGGCAACATCTTGGCCTGAGGCAACAGGACCTATAATAGATGAGTTTCTGGGAACCTCTCAAGCCTTAACTTGCCACATGTTACATGTTTCAAGGATGTCTACCATGAATCAGTCCCAAGACATTGGTTACACAGAATCAGCATAACCAGATGATTGATAAGCATCTGAAGTTCTTAACATGAAGCTACTTATAACTTCAAATTAAACTTCGTCACATCATCCCACTAAATACAGAATACACATCACAGTTATGATCATCTGTAGGATTTATTTTTTATCCCAAGCAATCTCCTAGGCTGGATTAGTGTGTTAAATCCTCCAAAGTCAAGAAACATAGAGTCACAGTGACCTCAGGCTGTTGCACCAGTTCAGTAGCTCCAGATCCAAAATATTGCTTATGGAGAATGGTGTGAGAGAATCATTGAAAAGGGCAAGTATGGTTGTCCAAGATTATGCTCTTACAATCTATCTTTTTTCAAATGACTAAACTACCACTATACTTCAGAAAAATCAAATGTTATCAAATATGCACACACATGCAGGCATGCACGCCCGTTGCGATGTACACACCATGAAAGTGCTCCTTGATGATATGTAGTAGAAAATTCGCATTGTCTAACAACCCTAACCATCTGACTTTCTCACTTCTAGGTACCTACATTCTTTTTTATTTTTTGATAAATAAATTGATTTATTAATGTAATAAGTAGAATGCTGATACAAGTTTTTCTTGGATAGGCGCGAGCTGCGTACTCTCCTTAGCAAGAACAAGAACAAACTACAATTGTGCCCAGTACAAATGATCCCTTGTTGCCCCTCTCTTGGCTAAATAATCTGCCATAGCATTAGTTGTTCTCCTGACCCATTGTATTCTTACAGCCATAGCATTAGGTACCTACATTCTTTAGACATGTATATCTTAGTTCTGAAACTAACAAGGAGCTGGTGCCATCATGGCTCAGGAATGGCCAAGGCCAACCAAATTGGTTTGCACTAATTATCTAGGGTCTACAACTAATATATTGGCACAACAGGGAAGGTGTGGACATAGAAATGTGCCTGTGTGCATACACAAACACATACCAGTGTACCGCATAACAAACTATGATACCTAGATACCCAAAAGGGTACCAATATCATGTCAGATCAATTTTTAGTGTAAATTCCATATCCTACACCATATCTAGCTGTATCTTTGCCATATATGGGTAATAATAGCGAGGTAAAGTTGCAATTACCAGAAACCACAATCGGTGTGCTTGTGTCTATGTCAGTTTTGCATGGACACAGACATCGGAATCATAACATGTGTCCACGAGTCTGACTTGGCCAAATAAGAAAACATGGACTAGTGGGCACATTAATAGAAAACCATATACTATTAAACTAGTTCATTATTTGTTAATTCTAACATTAAATACTTACAAAAATGGGTTTAAAACATTACCTTTGGGGGCGTTCGTTTTTTGGATTTTGAGAGGGGGGAAGTTGCTCAATGGGATTTTGGTTCCCATTGACCAACAAACCCATGTTCTTTTTTTAGATTTATGTAGGGACCAAGGAAAGTTTATTTTCATGGGTATCACTTACCCGGGTAAGTGATACCCATCTCCCAGGTGGGTAAGTAACTTCCCACCTGGTGGGAAAGTTGCCAACACTTGGATGGGACAAAATTGCCCCTTTTAATAATGGATTTTTATGGTTAAAATGGTCCTTGTCTTATTTACCTGGGAAATAAAAGAACATGGGTAAATGCATTTGCCCGGATAAGTGTTTCCTGGGAACCACTTACCCAGGTAAGTAACTTACCGAAAAGCAAACAGGGCCTTGTTATTAAGCAATGTTAAATATGAAAAGTAGCATTCTTCTTGTGCATTAGCTGTTCATTTATACCAAATAAGGTAGGGTATAAAAAGGAAATGCTATGTAGAAGTGTCCCTTAAGAATCCATGGAATATCAGAATCTGACATGTGTTTGGTATGGATGCATCGCTCATTTAGAAGAGTCCATGCAACACTGGTCTGTGTGTGTGTGTCTGAGAGAGAGAGAACGTTTGAACATAATCATTTGGACAACAGCTCATCCAGGAGCATATTATGAACTCATTGTGTCATTTTGCAATAGTCGTGGACATAATTGCTAATAATAGTCTTATATTCCCAAAGAATTTAGACAGAATTCACATTCTTGGATAGCCGGGAACCTTTTTGTCATATCAATGAAGTTCATTTCACTGTTGCCCATACAAAAAGAAGTTGGACAGAATTTCATATATACAAATATATCCTTAACACAAAATGTAGAAAACCATCAGCAAGGACTGAAAATAAGCACCAACCTTTAGGGTCATGTAATCACGACTCAATATATGTCTTCCATCCTTCCCAAACTTGATATCTGATATTGAAGCAATAATCTCTGTGAAAAATGAACGTGAACCAGGTGTCTCACGCTCCTCAAACCTAAAAAAACAACTTAAATAGCTCTTTCACTTAAACACATGGCAAGGCTTAAGGAATGTAAATACAGAAGAATTCATCAATTAACAGGCTTGAGAACTATATTAGTCAGGAAACATTCTTACAGTTTGGCATGTGTGTCACACAAAGCTGATTGCCTCATGTCAATAAGGCGTATTGTGCCCTTTGAGCTACTGTATGCTAATGTATTGCAATGTGTAGGATGGAATTCGGCAGAAGTTATAACCTCTGCAAAACAACAGATAATATTACTGCATTCATAAGACAGTCTTAAGTGGTTAAAGATGCAATGACACTGGCAGGTATGTCAGAGTCAATTATGAATTCTTGGACATAGGCACTCATAGAGGCCCAACAAGCTCTTTTTTTTTTTATTTTGAGAGAGAGAAGGCAAAGTATAGTTTCATTTATAATAAACAAAAACATGTACAACAAGCTGCTGTACACAGGGATTTTACAATCACTGTCCATGCAGTCCTATCTGTCGTATACCTCCAAACTTGCATTTCTCTAAGAAGAAAAACAGTCTTTTGAGAATAAAGGACTGTTTAGAACAGATGCAGAAATTAGAATAAAACAACAGAAATCATTCTTCTATGGAAGAGAAGATGAAGAAGAAGATGGCAGCAATAAAGGTTCAGAGTAAGAGAGTTTCGAACCTTAATCTCTACTCTTACACCCCTAACACAATTTTATTAAGTTAAACTTTGATAATTTACAAARAGGCCCTTAGTTGGGCAAGAAATTAAAAGAACATAACATAGAAAGAATAGGCCCAGAATAAGGCCCATTACAGCAAATAACATAAAAGATAAAAAATGATAAACAGCCTATGGGCCATTCGGCCCATCTTCTCTACACTCCCCCTCAAGCTGAGCATAAATGTCAATCATGCCAAGCTTGCCAGTATCATGCTGAAGTTTAGCCTTGGGAATGCCCTTGGTGAGGAAATCCGCTAACTGTCCTTCAAAGGTGATAAAAGGTAGACATACTTAACCAGAAGCCACTCCTTCTCGAATGAAGTGTCTGTCAACTTCAATATGTTTAGTTCTGTCACATTGTACTAGGTTGTGAGCAATGTTGATGGCGGCCTGACTATCACAGTATAACATCATTGGCTTATCATGCTCAATCCCCAGTTCCTCCATCAATGATTTTAACCACAAGAGTTCAAAAACTCCATGTGCCATGGCTCTGTATTCTGCTTCTGCTGAAGATCGAGCAACAACAGATTGTTTATTGCTGGAGAGACAATATTACCTGCCACCAAGTTGCAGTACCCAAAAGTAGATCTTCTGTCATCAATGTTTCCAGCCCAGTCAGCATCTGTATAGGCTTCAAGTTTCATATGGCCATGCTTGGCAAACAGAATTCCCTTTCCAGGGGAGCCCTTCAAATAACACAGAATTCGCTCTACTGCTGCCATATGAGTATCTCGGGGAGCATACATGAATTGACTGATGCAACTGATAGCATATGCAATGTCTAGCCGAGTCATGCATAGATAAAGAAGTTTTCCAATGAGTCTCTGGAAGACTCCTTTGTCTTCTAACAATATTCCATCTGAAGCAGAGAGTTTATGACTCAAATCAATAGGAGTAGCAACTGGTCTAGCACCCATCTTCCTTGTTTCGGAGAGCAAATCAAGAACATACTTCCTCTGAGAGATAAGAATCTCATCCTTAGATCTAGCAACTTCTATGCCAAGGAAGTATCTCAATTCCCCCATATCTTTGATCTCAAACTCTATATGAAGGAAATATTTGAGATCATTAATTCCTGAAACATCATTACCAGTCACAACAATATCATCAACATACACAATCAAGTAAACTGCCAGGAATCCTCTCCTCTTCACAAAGAGAGTATGATCAGACTATGTCTGTACATAGCCAAAGTTAACAAGGGCAGCCCTAAACCTTTCAAACCATGCTCTAAGGGACTGTTTTAGTCCATAAAGAGATCTCTTCAGCTTGCATACCTTTCCTTTCATATCTGTTTCATACAT